CAAAATCAAACAAAATAATAATTAAAAAAAACCCTCCAGAGTGGACCAGAGGTTCAAACGCAGCAAAAATATCTACACGTTGCTAAGTACTGATATTAGCACGAACAGGAGAAATGTCAGCACAACTTTATATGTGTGTCACTTTTTGTTCTCCTCTATCCCCATGACGCTCACACCTAAGTTACTAATCAAATTTGAAAACATTTGCATTCATTTGTCTGACATCTTAACAATAGCCTAGTCATTTTCAATGAGGAAATGCATCCAGGTTTTTACTGCTACTCTATTCGTCGTATATTTGTTTTTATGTTGCTGTCCTCATGCAACTTGTTTACTGTTTGCAGGTGCCGTTCTCTAACTGCAGTGAGGACTGTGAACCAGGCACAAGAAAAGGAATCATTGACAGCATGCCCACATGCTGCTTTGAATGCACTGAGTGTTCAGACGGAGAGTATAGTAATCACAGAGGTAAAATGCTATGCTCCTCATGGTAGTCCTTGTAATTATTTTAGTTTCTAAAACAGATTGTGTTTTTGGCTTTACACAGATGCCAGCGTCTGCACCAAGTGTCCAAACAACTCTTGGTCCAATGGGAACCATACGTTCTGTTTCCTGAAACAAATAGAGTTCCTCTCTTGGACAGAACCTTTTGGGATAGCTTTGGCCATATGTGCTGTGGTTGGTGTCGTCTTGACAGCCTTTGTGATGGGAGTTTTTATCCGATTCCGCAATACCCCAATAGTAAAGGCCACCAACCGTGAACTGTCCTACGTCCTCCTGTTCTCACTAATCTGCTGCTTCTCCAGTTCTTTAATTTTCATCGGAGAACCACTGGACTGGACATGTCGCTTAAGGCAGCCCGCCTTCGGGATTAGCTTTGTTCTCTGCATCTCCTGTATCCTTGTGAAAACTAACAGAGTGCTGTTAGTATTTGAGGCAAAGATCCCTACAAGTCTCCATCGTAAATGGTGGGGTTTAAATTTACAGTTTCTCCTGGTGTTTCTGTGCACATTTGTCCAAGTCATGATATGTGTGGTCTGGCTTTACAATGCCCCTCCTTCAAGCTACAGGAACTATGACATTGATGAGATCATTTTCATCACATGCAATGAAGGTTCAGTGATGGCTCTTGGGTTCCTCATTGGATATACATGCCTGTTAGCGGCCATTTGTTTCTTTTTTGCATTTAAATCCAGAAAGCTTCCAGAAAATTTCACAGAAGCCAAGTTCATCACCTTTAGCATGCTCATTTTCTTCATTGTTTGGATCTCTTTTATCCCTGCCTACTTCAGTACATATGGCAAGTTTGTGTCAGCTGTGGAGGTCATTGCTATCCTGGCATCCAGCTTTGGACAACTAGCTTGCATTTTCTTTAACAAGGTGTACATCATCCTCTTCAAACCATCCAGGAATACCATTGAAGAGGTACGATGCAGCACCGCTGCCCATGCTTTCAAAGTGGCCGCCAAAGCTACGCTAAAACACAGTACACTTTCGAGGAAAAAATCGGGGAGCATTGGTGGGTCCTCTGCCTCAACTCCATCCTCATCCATCAGCCTCAAGACCAATGGCAATGACTGCGACACGACTTCAGGGAGGCACAGGCCGAGGGTGAGCTTCGGCAGTGGAACAGTCACTCTGTCGTTGAGCTTTGAGGAGTCAAGAAGGAGTTCTCTGATGTAGTTGAGAACGCATTGGTATGATCTGCATAACCTGACCCCCAACAATTTCAATAAACTAGACACTTAGCTTTTCACAGAAATGTTAACACTAATGGATTGTGCAAGTTACACATGAGAAGACGTTTACTTTTTTTTTTCTTAGAAAACTAAAGTGCCCACCATGGTATGGACAAGAGTGTAAGGATCAGAATGAGGCACCAAGACGGGAACGGAGGTTGACAAAACAAATCCATAAAATCTAAATAAGTATTAGTTTAAAACTCGGACCCATTAGTTGTACACGGAACAAAAATGTATGATTCTCGGTACCAACTCAAAGATTCAATGTGGAACCACTTATTTTTTTGAATTGCTCAACTTCTTAAATTCTAATTAATCAGTCAAAACATGAGATGTATGTCAGATTTTATTTTTTAAAAATTGTTTTTTATTTTAATTTTCTTTGTATCTTGACAAAAACAATTTACTAAATACAGAAAATGTCAGTCCAACTTACACTCAAACTTTGACATTAGTTTTCAGTTTAAATCTGCTTTACAGTAAGAATTTTAAGAAATAATTGAATATTTTGTATAAATAAAGCCATTAAATCACATTTTTATGTTTATTCTCTACGTGAGTGGGATATCTACAAGACATTTGTCTTTATTTCTTCACTGATTGTCACTTTTAGAGGTCGAGAGGGTTGGTAATGGTCTTGTTTTTCTTGTCTTTTCTTTTCTCTTCTCTTTTCTTTCCTTTTATATTCTTTTCTCTTACACAATTTTAAGGACACTTTGAACTTATGTTACATTGTACAGCATTTTCATTCCTGCACCTGAACCAAAGGAGCCCACATCCTTAGTCAAAGAAAACAAAGAGGGTCCTGAGGTAGAGTCTTTCAAAAATAATCCATAGTATTATGTTATCTTACAGTCATTACCCTCAGATTATAGGGATTTTATGTGACAGACCACCACAAAGTAGCACATAATTATAAAAAATTATAAAAAACATTTTTTTTTTTTTAATATTGTGTGGATTCTCATGAAAGCCCCTTTCCTCTGATACTCCTGATACAGTCAAACATTAACAGACATTACTACTTAGTACACAGAGGTAACCTGTGTATACTTTAATTTCTCCATAAACCCAAATGTTCTGTGAATATGAATATTTGAGACCTTCACTGTAATGTTGTGAAGGTCTCAAAGGCTTCTTATAGAACATTAGTGAGCAAACATCATGAAAACCACAGAACACAGCAGACTGGTCAGGCATAAAGTTGTAAAAAGTAAAAAAAAAAAAAGTTACAACAAACATGGCTGTCCACATAAACTGAGAGGAAGGGAAAGGAAGACTTGAATCTGAGAAGCAGCCAAGAGGCCCATTAAAAACTCTGGATGAATCTCACATAGCATTGTGCTTTAAGGATGCCTTTCAACACAGACAGAAAAGCTGATCAGTGCTGAATAGAAGGTGAAATTCATTGCAGAAAACCAGCAAAAGGCGTCAGAAAATTGGACAAGATTTGCCTTCCAGCAGGACCATGAAATAAAATATGAAAGACCAAATTTGTTTGTAAAAAAAAAATGTTTGAAAAACATGTACCATTTTCTGTTCACAGCACAATCATGGTCTACTTTGTTTTGATCTATAACATGAAACTCCAGCAATGTGTGGTTGAACAGTTATCATATGTCTATGCTGTTCTGTCGCGTTTCTTTCGAGGAGTGCTCTCTGTCTCCTACTTGCTAATCACAAGTCTCTGTTAAATGCAAGGAGTGTAGGTCAACTTGACATGTTAGTCTCATTTCGAGGAAGCCTATCATAATTTCTTTTCAACAGAAAGAAAAAAAGAAGAAACAAACAGCTTTCCAGTTCTTAAAATATGAAGTCTTCAACTATTTCTTGAAAAGCTGTAGTTCAGAAAGTATAGAGGGAAACATAAACTCCAAGTGGCTTCTTGTGAGATATAAGTGTGGATTTGATGAACAAAAACTGAAACAGAAGATGCAGTTTGGAAATCTCCAGCTCCCATAATGTTGACTGGAATTATTTATTAAGAACTGCCTTTCTAATGTGGTAGCATTCCTCATTCCAGTCCTATGGAACTTGTTCTGAGGTTTTGGATTTCATTGTGACATGAAGATGGAACATTTTTTTTAATGCTCAGGTTGGAAGCCAACTTTACAAGTTATATGGCTGTGCAAATGTTCACAGTTTTACCAAATAAAATAACAAAGTCTACAAAACTGCCATGATGCTCCACCTATCATGTTCTTTCTCTCAGCGCTTTTTTGTAGTACTTTAATCTGCTGTCTGCATCTCTTTGTAAAAAATTGTTCTTTTTTTTGACAACACTAACAAAACCTCTCCTTTAGTTTTCCCAAGAGGTATTTGTCAAATTTCTGACTGAGGAACATCTGTTAAAACCATCTGAGATAACCCTTTTGTTTTGGGGGCATGAATATAATCCAGCAATCAGATCATCTTGTGAGTGAAAAGCACCACATACTGGGAATATCTGGAATAGCCTCTCTTCTAATTACAAAAAAAAAAAAAAAGTTTGAGAACTTTAGTAGATTTTCTTTCTTGGCAGTATACATATAAAACCTAAATAATTTTAAGAAGTTGGAAGATCTTTAAGAAGATAATATTGCATTGATTTGGATGTATCAATTGTTAAACAAATACACAAACATAGGTTAGCTGAAATAGTTTTGATAAAAACAAAGTGTAAAACGGTGTTGAATCAGATTATACAGTCAAGTGATTAAACTTTGGTTCGATCTTTATATAAAAAAACGCCTGACAACAAAGAAAAGAAAGAAACGATTGCCAGGCCAGGCGGGAGTTCTTGCATAAAAATATAATAAATACGAGCAAATGAAAGATATGATCTATAATAGCAGACGTTTGTATAGGATGCTGTTAACGTTTTACACTTGATGTCTCTCAAATTTTGACTGCACTGACGGCGTCTTATTTTGGTAAACGTGAACCGGAAGTACATGACAAACCAGACTTTAGCTTCATATTAAATGTCTTTCAGTTTGTAAACGACGCTTAACAATTAAATCAACATCATATTAAGTAAAGAATTATGAAACAGGAAAAATATGTGAATTTTTAACAGTTTATTTTTATCTCAAGATACCAAATGCATATTGAAACGCGTGGGAGAAGTTACAAATTACATTTAAAATGTGAAAGAAATGTCTGCTTACGTTCCGTAATGAAAAAAAAATAACAATAGCATACTTAGGCTATTGCTATACAATTCCCGGCATTCACCAAGAAAAGAAAAATATAAATTTTATTTTGAAAATACTGTAAGCGGAAAGGCTTGTAGTTGACTTTACACGTTATTTGTTCTTGATATCCGACGTTTAAAGTTGGTTTTAAGGTAAGCTGTGCAATTTAAGCCTGTAACAATCGTAAATTGTCAATATAAATGCTCTTTTTCCTTTAATTATACTAACCCGTGTGTGGTTTTGGCTGTTTATTACTATTATTACCCTAACATGTTAACTTATAAAACACTGAGTGATGATGTAGACATTACATCCGCACTCGACTTCTAGCCCGTAGTTTAGTTGTTAAGTCTGAACTTGTCTGGCTCAGTTATTATTAACATTAAACACTAATGTTAACGATATAGACAGATTGTAATGGTAATATTCTTGCTTCAGTCTTTGCATTCATAATAATGAGCTACCTGTGGTTAGCATGTCTATGTTGTCAATAAAAGAACAGAGAATATGAAAGGATTTGAAGATAAACTTGAGGAAGTTTTTTAATTGTGATAACTTCAATTGCTTTGGTAACATGTTTGTTTTTACAGGGCAAAATTTAGTAGCGTCAGACCCACGTTTTTTTCCAAATAGTTTCGTCATTATATATTGCACACTTTCGTTTAACATGAATATCAGTACAGTCAGCTGCTGGTTTAGGGACGTTATGTATTATGTATCAAGTTTAGTTTTTTTTATTTTTTTGATCAGAGTATTAGATTATATTTTTAAAAGCTGTTTATAGGTAATTTATAAATGAGGTTTTGTATATATTTTTTTACATCAAAATAGTTCAGACATAAGCTTGAATATCTGGATGTTTGACAAATAAGGACTTTTGAAATGAAGAATTAACCATTTACAAGTTTTCTATTATGTTGATTAATAAAGCATAGACTATTCTTGTCTTTTGGATGACATATAATAGAACAATTTGAATGTTGGCAGTCTTGTTTGACCTACACTTAGAAATATGAGAAACAGGCTCAGTTACATGCTTATGACTCACATTCAGTATCCATGACAAAGTAAGCTGTTCCTATAAAGCCCTTTTTATACTGCTAAATGTAACACAAAGTGGTTTACAGATGTTGAAAGCAGAAGGGTTTACAAGAAGTAAGCGACAATCATTAAAAATTATCAAACAAGTAAAGAGACAAACAATTATTGATAAGACCATGGAGACTTAAGGGATAAATAAATCAATTTGAGGTGAAGAGGAACTGTGGAACAATAAATATGTAACTTGAATATGTAACACTGGAGGTGCACATATTATTACATGAAGTGAAACAAAATACAAATTAACAAATAATTTAAAGTCATAGACCTAAAATCGTAGAGAGCAAAGTTTAAAAGCATACATGCTAAACAATGTAAAAATATAAAAATAATAAAAAACAGAATTATAAAAAAACAAATGACTATATTTGCCAAGATTAGTGACTTAAATATCATTAAAAATATATCTATTAATGAAAAGTTGCTAAAATTGTTCATAGCTAAAATTGAGATGATATAACAAACCATGAGATAACAAATAGATATGACATTTAAATAAAAGCAAGGTTAATTAGATTTAAAAAAAAAGAAAAGAAAAACCCAGCTAAAACATATTTAAAAGACAAACTAATGGTTTTGGGTTGGCCTAATTAAAGTCTGCACTCACATTAAGAGAAAGTACTGGCCATTTATGCTTGAAAAACGTTTCAGTGTGGCTGAATTAAACTAAAACCTTGTGCCAGTTATCACAAACGCTTGGTGGCAGTTGTTGCAGGTTGGATTCTTTTAAATAATCTTTAGAAAACAATATTTTGTATTTAGTCAGGTTATGTTTGTCTGAAATTTGAATTTGTTGATGATCTGAAACGACAAAAAAATGATAAGGAAAATGTAATCTAGCAAATAACTACTCCTTTCGCAAATGCAGTTTGCTGTTACTTTTAGAAAAGAAGTAAACTCTTACTTTTTTTTTAGCAGGTGTGTTTTATGTTTGTACTTTATCCTGATGTAAATGATCCATATCTGGTAACCTGTTTTCTCTCTTTGTTCTCTTCACAGTTGAGTTCCTGTGTTTGGCTTCAGATCTGGGGACAGATATTTGTTTTAAATTAAACTTTTATTCTTAAAGCCATCTGAGCGAAAGTGATTATTCCTGCAGTTTGCTGACTTTGTAGTCGAACAGGATGTTTCATCAGCATGGGATGACTTACCACTGATTCTGTGACCAACTGTATTTCTTCAGTAATGCCCTGTACGGATATCTCCTAAACTACACATAGCAGCATCTACATTCGCTGCAGCTGTGGTCACATCGGCAAAATCATGATTATGTGTACAGCCATCAAAAAGGTTTCACGAAGGTGGAAATATGCTGTTCTGATTGGTCTCTTGTTGTCAGTGCTGGCTTGGAAAGCCAGTTTCACTGGGGACAGAAACGGGACCATTGATGATAACTTTGTTACAACACAAACTCCTGTAAAAGAAGACAAACTGACGGATGAACTCAACCCAAGGATCGCAGAACCCAGTCACTCAAATATTTCAGCAGAAAAAGATGATTGTCCAGAGGAGTCTCCACTGCTAGGTAAGTATATTTCAAAGTGATATTCCAAATGGTGATGACTAGTTTTCTACATCCTTCATTTGACTAAATAGATTTGTGTTACTCATCTTGGTTGGTATTTACATAGAAAGCAAATAACATAGTTCTCATACTCTCGTTAAAATGCCAGGTCATAATGAATCATTTTAATTTGCTTGACCACGGCAGGGTGTTTTCAAACCTTATCTGGTTGACTTGGTTCAAATGGGGAACCACAATTCAACATTTGTTACATTTCCAGCAGGACCAGTTCCCTTTGACACTGCATGGTGTCAAACAAAGCAAACCCTTTGAACAACCTGTTTTACCCCCTGACCTGTGGTGACACTGCACCAAGAACCACTGAAGGAAACAACACAAAAACATCTGAACTTCTTTATTCATGAAATGTAAACAATAATGTACTGCCATTAGATTTTAGTAGTTGTAGGATTTCTCTCTTGTCCTGGGCAAAAGGCCATGAGCCGTTTTGCCCGCTAACGCTAGACTCATGTTTGTTTTGATTGTATTTACCCATAATGTCCTAAGCTAAGTCCGCTTCCTGCTTTTGGTGCAGTCTTCAGTTCACTTGTTATTGACATGCATTTGAACCACACCAGAGTTCACTTCAACCGAACCAAGGACTCTGTTTTTTAGGCAGACCAGAGTCCGCATTCACATCTCTCCAAATGAACCTGACTTTCAAGGCAACCAAATTAGAGTTGGACTAAAATGGACTAAACAGAGCGAAAGCTGTAAATTGTAATTTATTTGATAAATGTTAAATCAAATCCACCTATGCTATGAAGAGTTTGAAGATGTGCTCATAGTTTATAGCAAAGTTGTGAAGTGTTAAAGACATAAATCAGAGAAAGTTTATACAAATCTCCAAGCATAACAGAAACTGGTTAGGGAGGAGTCTCGGCCCAATTAATTTGAGGGCAATCTAATACATTTGGGAGCTTAACCCTCCCAAAAAAGAATGTGCCACGTCAGTTTGAACCAAACATACCAAAAGGTGTGGGTTGTTTAAAAACAACTCATTGTTGAAACAAGCACAATACTCTTGGGCAGCTTTTCTTCAGGTGGAGCAGGATTTTTATTCAAAGTGAATGAAATCAGGAACAATTTCAGTTACCAACTTATTTTGACCTAAAATGTCCCGGTGTCCGTTAGAAGCATTTTAAAATCTGAAATCACTATACAGTTATCTTATTCTTTCTTTTAGTAACTTAATTCACTATATGAAACATATATCAGTCAATCATAGACAGACCAATATGTTCAAGTCTTTATTTCTGTTAATTAGGACTAATGGACTGAGGAAAACACATTTAAAATTAGAGTACTACTACATCACATATAAGTTAGGTTTAATATTTGCCTAAAGCTTTATTTTCAAAGGTTAATTTTTTTCTGACAAACGACTCATCAGAACGCTTATTCTAAATATGACTGTAAATATAAAAACTTACTTGTGCTTAAGTATTTCAGTTATGGAGAAACTGACAGCAGTTCACAGCAGACTTGAATATCTGCCTAAATTTCTCTCAACATTGCTTCTCCAGTGGGAGCTTCGAAGCTGACCTTTGAATCTTCGCTGAACCTCAAGGATGTAGAGAAGGAAAACAAAGTAGTGACTAAAGGGGAGTATGAGCCCTCAGACTGTACAGCAAGGCACAGCGTAGCCATCCTCATTCCACATCGTAACCGGGAGAGACACCTACTCTACCTCCTGCACCACCTGCACCCATTTCTGCAGCGGCAGCAGCTGCACTACGCCATCTACGTCATCCATCAGGTATATTTCTGCATGCGGTGCAGTTCGTTTGTGCTTGGAGGCCACCATTGGTTTACTGATGATATCGCTTACCGGTTCTCCTTGTATTTGAGTTGAGGTTTTATTGTGAATTGGCTTTAATGAGGTGTTTCGAGAGGGAAAATGCAAACTCAGGCAAAATTTACAATGAATTGGAACAGTGCAATAACGATGTCTAGATTGCAAAACATCACTCTCAGTTGGTAAAGGTGACTGAGAACGTTACCGTCTACACCAGTCAGACGTTTTTATGACAACACAGGTTTAACCAAATTAGTGGGCGTCATTCTTTTAAAAACATTATTTAATATGATTGTACTTGGCTCATCATTTAATGTACTTTTTTAAGATTGTCCTTCCCTATATCAACATTCATGGCAGTCCAGATCTTAAATGGTGTGAAGAAAAAATGTTCACATGTTATTGTTTGAATGTTGTATCCCTGCTTTTTTTCCTTCCTCCTTTCAGTTTTCTTTGTGCTACCTCTCGTCTTTCAGTGCTCTGCATTCCTTTACTTCCTTGTGTCCTATTTCATTTCTTTACTTGTGTTTTGCACCTTTCATTTCACTCCTCCTTCCTTGATTTTCTTCCTTCTATTCCTTTACTGCAGGGGTGTTGAAATTGTGTTCCCCTTTTTTGATGTGTCTCAAGTCCACTTGTGTTTTATTTCATTCTCTCCTTGTTCCCTTTCTTCCTTCTTTGTGTCCTTCCTTCCTTTCTTTCTTTCTAAAGTGTATTGTTTTTACATGGAAAAATATCTAGGAACCCTGCCGATAACTTAAAAATAAAACATGTTAAAAACATGCTACCATGCAGTGCTGACATACTTTGTTAGGGAACATTGAAGTGAATTAGGTCAACATCACCTGCCAGGTAATTTGCCAAATGCAAATTATCCCTAAGTAAATATGTAAATGTGATACGCCAGATACAATCTGAAAATAAATGGGGCTTCTGTTTCCTGTGTTTGGTTTCTCTTAATAAAGTCACTGTAGGTTTGACTATAATCCCGTATATTTAGATAAAAGGATTTCATTTGTTTCCTTGTCAGTCGTATCTGACTGTAATATAACAAAATTAAAGAGATGAACAGAAATATGACCTTGTATTCTAAACAGTACCTTGAAGTTCATGTCAAATTTAGGGGTTTCATTTTTCTTTCTTTTACTCAAGGCCGGCGATGCAACTTTTAACAGAGCGAAGTTACTTAATGTTGGATATTTGGAGGCAATAAAAGACTTTAGCTGGGATTGCTTCATCTTCCATGATGTGGACCTGGTTCCCGAGAATGACCACAACTTATACATCTGTGACCAGCAGCCCAAACACCTGGTCGTCGGCCGCAATGTCACCGGATACAAGTACGTATATGAATGAAGGTCTTTCAAGTCTGAGCCTCGTGATTATTCTTCACTCTGCTCCGTTTATTAAAAAAAAACGATATTAACTGGTGACATGCTTCTCTGGTGAAAACTTTAAGTCTGTTATTATCAAGAAGACTGTCTATTTTCTCCTCAGACTCCGTTACAAAGGCTACTTTGGCGGAGTCACTGCCATGACCAAAGACCAGTTTTTTCAAGTAAATGGTTTCTCAAACAACTACTGGGGATGGGGTGGAGAAGATGACGACCTTAGAGTGAGGTGAGGAATATTATGATGTTAGAGTAAGAAGGATTATCTGTGTGCTGTCACATTTGAAGCAGATGTGATCCACTACAATGACATATTTGATTCTGCTTTACAGAGTCGAACAGCAAAAAATGAAAATTGTGCGTCCCCCTGCTAACGTAGCGCGCTATACCATGGTGTTTCACAAACGAGACACTGGAAATCAGGTTAACAAAAACAGGTGAGTGGATATTTGATATATTTTTTTTAATTCTTGTCATTTTGTGTGCACAGAAATTATCCAGTCTGTTCAGTCAATTGTAATATATTTATCTTGATTATAATTTCAGTATTTCTTCTTTTCTAGGATGAGGTTATTAGGACAAACGACAAAGAAGTGGAGAGTCGATGGACTCAACAGCTGCGTATATGACACTTTATCAGTCGGGAGGTATCCTCTCTATGTGAATATCACAGTTAACATTGGTCAGCCTCAGAGCTGAGGACTCTGGAAGAAAACAAGTCCTTGTTTGTCTTGATATCATTTTCAGCTCGGGCCGCATCAAGATAATGAATTTCCTCAAAGGGCCGTTGCAGAATATATTAATCAAAACTAGCTATTAACAAAACAGTTTAAATAATATGACTTGACATGATGCCAAGGCACATTGCGACCGCCAATAGGTCAGTTACTGACAAACCCACTGGATGTAGGGTAATGTCAGTACTTCTTAAAATTAATTCATATTCAACAATTCTTCACATTGATGTAATTTGGCACTAAAAACTAATTTGATTTGACCAGTAAAATAATATTTAAGCACACAACCAGTATCTTGAAGTTCTGTTTATGTCACCCTATAGACACTTGAGAGCCACATAGACAGTTGTGGCGGGCCAGATTTGGCCCCCGGGCCTTGAGTTTGACACCCATTATTTTATATTATAAGGTGGAGACCACCGTGTGCTGAAAGGTTATTAGATCACTGACAAACTGAATTCTCTTTGGTGAGATGATATTCCAGATATTTAACACAGTTTTGCATATCATTCCATGTCTTCATTCATTGAAGACTACGTTCATTCCAGTAGTTTTAAATTTTGTTTTTTCTATACCGTTGTTACCTGTCAGACACTGATTAATTCACACTCATGCCTTATTCTTTGCCTGTGTCTCCACCACTTTATACTGACTAGGTCCTTGTTTTGGCACCTGAGAAACAATGATTGGTTGTTGTATGACCTAACAAAGTCATAATCTGTTGATCTTGTAATAGGATGCTGAATAGGTTCCAGGATGCAGGTTATCTTAGAGAGAGAGAGATTACATAGTGAGGCCAGCACAGGTAAACATTACCTAACAATATCTTAATAAGGAGGAATTTATACTATTGATTTTTTGCACATGAAGTACCTCAAATGTAAGCAGATCGTTTGCAGTGCTAAGCAAAGGTAAGGATACCCTTGAATCTTTTTATTTTATTTAATCAAGTGACAAGCGCAAAGTTGAAAGAGTTTTGGGAGGATTTTTTGTGACGGAACAACACAAAGTCATGCATTATTCAGAAGTGGAATGATTGACAAAGTATTTTGCAAATTGTGTATTTACATTTATATTCCCTGCATAATTACTTGGTCAAACAACATTTTTGCTGACACTGGAGACACTTCAAAGTTTCCTGTCTCTACTGAACAGAAAATCTTATTTTTTAAAATTATTTTAATTTCTTAATAATACCGTACTCTTATTTTGTCCCACATAAAATCCCAATAAAATACATTTTATTATAACACAACAAGTTTATATTACTAGAAGGGTATCAATACTTTTGTAAGGCCCTGTGTTGGGACAGCTTTTCAATTCCAGACTGATCACAGCAGAATCAGTTTATATTTTTTAGTTAATTTTATTGGAAATAGTACAGGTCTGAGAAAACCCATTAGGTTGTTCAGAGCCCATCCAACTGATGAAGATCTAAATATGATCACTTTTGTCACAGATGAAGGATTCAGATTTGTATCAGTTTGACGGCAAATGACAAACAAAACCTCTTCTTCCAAGATGGAAAAAAAACAAACTTATGCTACAAATACAGTAACATCAATATACTATTGTTAGTATGAAGTCAGAAATGCAGTTAGAGATGGTGGATTTTTTCCTTTTTAAAGGTAGTCTCATAGTGACACTGATATTTTTTTTATTTTGAAATTTGTCTTATGGCATAATTTAAGGATACAATGACATTGTAAGTTTTATCACTCCAAAGTCATTTTTGGTTATATTTGTACGTCTATTGCATTAGTAAAACAAAAATCTGCTTTAGTAACTTAAGTGATGATTACAATCATAGGAAGTTTCTATAGGAAGCGAGTTTAATGAGCCAAAATTATTTTCTTTGTAAAACTATTATTTTCTTTGTAATTTTAAAGCCTTATATCCTTTTTTTTTTGTTTCATGTGGGACTTACTAATAGGTGACGGATTGTATACCACTTTGTAACTTTTAAAGAAAATCAACATTATAAAAAATTGCTGAAGGAAAATCTGCATATTTGCTTCAATTGTAGCATGTTTCTGACATATATCAAATTATTTGAATGATTTTTTTTTTTTTATTATTTTAGAACATGGTGTGCTTTCAATTTCTTTTTTTTTTTTGAAAATGAAAAGCGTGCCCATGCCAGCACTGTTACTGTTAACAGGTCACTCCTTGTATGTTTTTGTGTCAGAATCATGTGTCAGAATCGCCAAAGGTTGCTTCTCATTAAGGAAGCATTTATGTACGAGAAACAATTTTGCACACCTGATAAATTGGCAGTACGCTGTAGTACTAGTAATTTACAACATATTTTAAACACTAAATGTGTGTTTTTTTTTTTTAATCTCTCCTTAATGAATGACATTTTTTGTTTGGGTGGTAGAATGAATGTGTAGACTGGTAAAGAAAACCATTTAGTTTTAAAACAACTCAGCTGACATTTTAAAGTTTAAAACAATACCATTTGAGCTCTTGAAGAATGTCACTTGACCAGTTTTATTTTCAAAGCTTTTTTTTTTCTTTTGGGTGGATGTGTCATAAGTGAGACTATTGTTATGTTGAGCCTTTTTTTTGTATCTTTAGGTTTTTACAAGCTTATAATAAAAATAGTTTATCTAATTGATTCTGCTGATGTTTTTTGTTGTTGATGCTTTATGAAAGAGTTCTAAAACTGGTTTGTACAGTCCATCAAGTCAGTTTGGATAGTTTTGTTTCTTAATAAATGAAGTCATCATTTAGAAATGACTCTTTGTATTTATTCTGTTTATCTCTGATATTAAAATTGATTTAATAATTTAAAACATTTTTGTGACAAAAAAGGAAAAATGATCGCAAAGTGACTTTATTTGCACCATTCACATTCCAGGTGACACAGGCTTGAATTATCGCATAGCAACAGAGAGACATGTACATAGCTGTATTTGTGACAGAGATTTTCTGACGGTACTAATATATTCATCAGTGTCTCCAGCATATATTGGAAGCATTCTTGTTATAAATGTGCATTTATCAGGGGTAACATTGAATTAATTTTCAAATTGTGCTCCTGATGTATCATCAGATATTTATAGGTTGAAATATCCCTCGTTACAAAACTAACTTTCTCAATTATAGCAGTTTACTAGAGATAGAGACGGGCGTGTTTTGAGCTTGTTGAAGACAGTGTAATAGACGCAGTTTCACCAGCAGGGGGTAGTGTATGAGTGTGATCATCAGGTTCCATTGAAACAACCACAACCTCTTAGAAAATATTTGATGTAGGCCTTTTATTACTATATTAAAAGAGATGATTTTTGCTACTAAGCATTTTCACAATATATCAAAGTCCTCAGAATAAGAAATAGGTGTTTTTTTAATGATAATTCATAACACTAGCATTTGGATAAATACTGTTGATCTGATATTTTTTCAATATGGATGAAAATAATTTCATTATGTCGTTCTTTAGCTGATAACTGTACAAGCCAGGATGAAGCACTGAAAAAACTTTATTTTACTTAACTGTCTTTAAGTCTTTAGGTCAGAATTTGATGTGAACAACATGGTGTGTTGTGTGTCATAAAATAAGGAATGCAAAAGATTGGCTTTGTCACATTTTACAAAAATGTTGAAAATTATTTATTCATTCCTCAGTGGTGTTAAAATTAACATTCAATAGGCTTGTCTAAATATGTAAAAAAAAATGTATGGGCTACATTTCCTTACTTTGAGGCTCGTACCTTCATGAAATGGAGCTAAATATTTCTGATGCACCAATATTGAAAGAAAGGATGAAGTTCTTAACACTACATCTATTTATTAAGAACTTTTTAGTTCTTCTATCATGCTCCATCAAAAGCAAAGATGTATGAAATTAAGCTATCATGCTAATCAGTTGTGTTCCTCAAGCACAAAAACACAATCCAGGTGTGTCATACTGAAGGCTTGGAACATTGTTATTCGTTTTCTGTAACCTTCAGCAATGACACTAAAATGACTCTTCTTTAATTATTCCATTAGAATTTAAAAAGTGGCCATGAGCGGCACAATGTGCCCATCAAAAATAAATGCACTATTATCATTTGAAGAGGAAATTAACATCCATCCGTGCTTCTGACTGCATGGGTCTAAAACTGAATCTGCTGGTTTGTTTTGGCACCTGCTGATCCGTGCAAATTTATTTTACCACCTCTGAATTAAATAATGCATTGTCTAGTTTGTAGTGCAAAATGATGGCCACAGAATATCATGTCTTTGTGAAATGTACTTAAAAATACATCGGTGACATTGTTGTAATGAAATGCAAATCCCCCTGTATTTTGCATTAAAACAAATACCTGCATAAGTTGATCTGCAAATTAATTTGTGGTTACTAAAGTATGCTTTTAGACTTTAATAAGGCTTTGCAGCTGCCAGCTGGCACATTGACAGGAAGCATGGCCTGAACAAAAGAGCTTAGATGAAAAGTTGGAGAGTACTACATGTGGCAAAAGGAGTTATCTATTCATCTGTCTGAAGTTCAAGCAGATTGAAACTAAATAAACAGGTATATAAAAGAAATATAGGTAGATAGATAGAACTCACCCCCTTTAATGTTTTACTCTTTCATTGCTATTATAAATGAGTTTGGATCTCTTTTTTTTGTTCCTCTTTTAGCTAAGATCTATCCATACAGACTTGCTGCAAAAGTTAGTATTTATGCATTTTTATTTTAGACAGTTTTTTCCAAGTACTTATCTTTGTAAATTATGATAATTTTCTACTTATATCTAAAAAAAAACATGACAATTGGGATTTTAATATTACATTATACCAATAAAAAATGTAATTCAGAAACAGCTAAGAGAAAAGGCTGTCTAAAACCTGTTTGAAGGTTATTTTTTAGTGTTTTTCAAATGATTTATTGAGTCGTACATGCACAGCAAGATTTATGTAGTAATTATTCATTTATGTCTTGATTTTTTTTCTTCCCTTTGCATCATTTCCTCACTAAGCTGAGCACCAGATGAGTTACACATATAAAAGTCAAAGCATTACACGTCAGACATGTACTCAAACACTAAAAATAAAGACACAAGTGAACCCTATTATTCACTTACAATACCATGTCTTCTTTTTTTCCTTTTTTTTAAATTTACCAGCCCAAAGAAAGAGTGGGATATTGAGGCTTTGTATGAGCAGGATGATGTCATGTCCTTTTCCTATGGTGTAGAAAGAAACCTTTGTTTTGCAGAGGGTAGGCCTGGTCATTGCTCAAACATGTGACATTCACAAAACACTTTTAGCACCAAAACAATTTCTTTCACAAACCAGACCTCTCCATTACTACACTTTAAAAGCATGTCCATATTCCCTGTAATGTATTCAGCAACGTGTTTATTATAAAATGTACAAAGTACATCATGTTAAATAACCTTATTGTATTTTTTTTTCTTTCTACTATGTCAACTTCTATGCTGTCTGAAGTTTCTTTGAGGTGCACATCGCCCAAACTGCTTTCTTGTTTGCTTGTCTTGGACATTGGGGAGCAGAATAGATAATATAGAGGATATTAAACAGAGCAGTGATAGCTCTGGCGCGTTGCCATTAATCGCTGGCGTTCCTTTTAAAGCTAAAATGTTATATTTCCCACAGCTGCTGGGAAGGGTCAAAAGGTAGGTAAAAGTAAACCAGATATAGGACTTGGACAGAACATGTGGCTGAAATCCCTTTTTTCCAAGTAATGATGTTGCTTCATGCCTACTGTATTTCCAAAGTGCTAAAATAGGAGGAAACTGGACTTTTATTTTGGTTTTAGGTTGCTTGACAGGCTTCCGTTCTGATCATAAGTTGATAGTTCTAGGTTTCTAAGTATTTATGATGTCCATCCCACCTCCATCACATTAATCTGGGGAGGTGAGTCAGCTGTGAATCGACTCACCTCCACAGATCAGGTGTTTCAGATCAAATTCCAGTCGTCCTCCTGAATAAAAAGATTCACCTAAAAGTTTGCAGGACACCGACCATCAAAGGCTGGACTTCAAAACTGCTGGACCCTTCTTCTCTTTGTCATGCTGTTTTTTTATTTTCTATTTTTGTACTTTTTTCACTCCTCTTCCAAAAACAGATCTTCTTTCGCTAAAATGAGCATGTTAGTGTTCTCAAGAGGTTGTCCCTTGTTCTAGAAATGTAGACAAATAACTGACCTGTCCTGAGAGGTTGGCTGCTCTGTTCTGTGTTGTGTATGTTTTCTGTTTTATCCAAACAGACATTTCAACACTCTTCATCGCACTGTACTGCAAACATCACACAATGTGGAGCATGTGGAGAATATCCTATTGAGGTCGCTACTTTTTTCCCACGCGGCTTTTCTGTGGATTTTTCTTCAACCACCAGGGGGCTCTTTAGCAGGAAGTTAATCATTGGAAGTCAAAATTGGAAATCAAAGAAGAAAGCGCTAATTTTCATTTGAACAAGGGCATGCTAGCAGCAGGCATCACAGAAAAATGTTTTCAAACTCGTATCCCCTCATCATGGAAACCACACGAAGAAGTTCATGTGATTTAGCTTTTAAGTTGAAGGTTGTCGATCTGTCAGTACAGGAGGGAAATAGAGCCGCTGCATGTAAACTCGGCGTGATGAATCTATGGATCGCGTTGGAGACGGAGGGCTTCGTCCTTAATAGCAGATTTATTCAGGACCAAGCCCTCTGCTTGGAAAACCTAGAGAGGCGGAGATACCAGCGGCTTATAGCCCGGTGCTGCTTATACATGTTCGTTTCCAGCTTTTTAAAAAAATACTTTGTGGGTGCGGCTTATAGTGAAGTGCGCTCCATAGAAAATACGGTACTAAACAAATGTGTTTTATAGTCATTTCATTGAAAAATGAAATCATTAACTTAATGAATGGTTGAATATGTTTTTATATCCAAAATATATGCAAAATCTAGAGGTATTAGTAATTTTGTGCTTAACTTTGTTGAAAAATGACCCCCATCCAAACTCAGAACTAAAAACCTATCTTGGATAAACATAAAACATTTTCAAGAAACGGGTGAAGTAATCCAGTTGCGTTCTGTTCATTGAATTGGGATTCATGACTAGAATCTTGATCTGTGTGTACCAAGCATTGGTTTACTATGACATTTACCATATTCATTTAAAAATTGCATTATGAATTTTAAAAACTGACAAAGGAATGAGCCAAAAGTTATAAGCACCAGATCACAAGGATATTTAAAACCAAGCCCCAAAACGGGGTCAGGATGGCGTACAGCAAGGAACTCAGTGTTTCTCAAAGATGAGGAAGATTGATTGGAAGAGCGTGGATCTGGTGAGTCTAATTTACAGAATGTGGAATTACTGTGTCTTAAAATAAGATTTAATAATTCTGGATTCGTAGAGATGCTTCACCTCTTCTCCAAGGTGAATCAGCTCTAACAAAATGCAAATGAAATTTTGATATTCTATCAATTTCATGGTTGATCACTGCATCTTTTTATACAGTTTTATACAGTAGGGTGAGGTGTGCAGTCACAGGCAGTTCATCTATCCTTGGTTACAAAGTCATAAAATTAAATTTACTGCCTTAGCGTTTTATTTTCTCACGTGGTGAGAGTCAGAGGGCTCCGGTCGTAAGGTATATCCTGCACTATTACATGATATTTACCAGGCTTGGCATTCCAGAGCTGGGATGTAACTGAAATAGATCTGGTGGAGACATGGAGGGCAGCTGTGGAGGAAACCGTGATTAACTAACTCCCTGCATTTAAAGTCAACACGTTGCACTGATTAATTCTGTGTTTTCATTGACGCTGCAGTCTAATTTAAAAGGAAAACAATAAAATACAAGGCAGTTAGTAATGAGAACCACGTGTTGTCCATCTTGGTCCACCAACTCTCTTCCCCCCCCCCTCGTTTCCCATCTGTGCCCTTCAGGCCCTCACTTGAGTCACCTCCCACTTTCCTCTTCCTTCAGAGCCCGTCTGTTTTTGTTTTTGAGCCTGGGCTCTTTGCACAGGAAACTGTGTATACATTGGGAGCATTCAGGAAAGGCAGGGAGAAGCTTTCCCATTAGCTCCAACTATGAGGACATAACGGAGGGGAGAAAAAAAAATATATAAGAGGGGTCAGTAACTGGGAGAGAAACAGATGTCAGCTGTTCTCCTCCTCCCATAACCTCGTCTCCCTCCCTCTTACATAGTCTGGACGCTTGAAAAATCCCTGCCACATCACTGCCACGAGGCTATCCCTCAATTCAGAAAACGCAGAAAGTCTTTCTCAAAAAGCAACTATAGCCATGTTCCTAATGGATGGGTGTCTCAGCTGCAGAAGAAACCAGTGAGGAGAACAGACTGGAATGAAGGAAAAGAGGAGGAGATAAAAGAGCAGAGAGAGGGAGAGCAAGAGAGAGAGACTGGGGGTGAAAAAACAACAGGAAACCAAACGATTCTAATGCTGTTTCTCCAGATCAGCTCACATAATTCAGCTGAGCACCATGAGGAACAGTCCCACCGCGTCTTTTCTCGGCTCATCTCCCGAAGAACGAGCCATGTAAAAAGAGCTGAAGTTTGAAAAGTGACGTCAGCAGCAGCCGTACGGTCTGTCAGGGTGCGAGCGGATGCAGGCATTTGGGAGCTGTGTGCTGGGATTCCTGTGCGGCTGCCTTTTGACCTGCCGACTAATTTCTGGTTTTTGGGCTCATATGGATCAATTCTGGTGCTTTCAGGGAACTTTCTGTTTCAGTCTTCTGGACTACTAACTGGAGCCCACATGAAGAATAAAGGAAACAAGCAGAAGACCAAAAAGAAAGGAAGTGAGAATGTGTTCGGCTGTGACCTGACAGAACATCTCCAGGGCTCAGGACAAGATGGTAACGCTTGCTTTGAAATCTAACACTATTGGGCAATTAGCACTTCCTACCTAGACAGTATGTCCTTCACTGGTTGCTTTACGCAGACACATGAAGGAATACATTTTTTTTTTTTTTTACCTTTTGAACTACTTTAGCTGTTTTAATCTTTTTTTTTTTTTTACAAACATGCCATTTGTGAAGAAAGACAAAACATATGTAGTTTTTATGTAAGAAACAGTTTTTGTTTAAAAGACTACAGATGTCTTTTATCAAAATACATATGTTTTCCATTTATTATGAACATTCATTCACCCATTGGCTGCATTTAATGAACCCAGGGTGGGGCTCGTAGATTCTTTTTGTGTAAATTTCCTGTTGTGTGCAGCTCCTACGACAAGTTTTATGTCAAAATTAGACCAGATATCACTATTAGTTTTGTATGGTGGAAAAGTAAAAAGACAAAAGGAGATAACACAGCAATGTGTTAAGTTTAATAGAAAAACATTTTTTTTTATATACATATAAAGATAGATTTTATTTTTGACTTCTCACAACCTTTGTGTGAAAGTTTCCATACATACGGAAAGTTAAGTGAACGGAAATCACATGAACAGACTCTTTAAAGATAAATTTAAGAAAGACCTGCTAGATGGGATCAGTGTGAGGTGGAGCATTCAGAGCAGGAAGTGAGGGAGGAGGTGTGGGTCAGAGTCTTGTGTCATGGCAGCAGCAGACATATTGTCCTTGCTGTTGGTGGGCTGTGGAAAACCTATGAGGCAAATGATCACTTTCTTTCTTTCTCTTCTGCTTTCTTTCTCTTGTTTTTTGTTTCTCCCTTTTTTTGTCACTTCCTTCTTTTTCTTTCTTTTTAACTTTAAGATTAAAAATGAAATCAAAGATTTGTTCTGCAGTAATCATAAAAGCGGTGTAAACAGAAACTTGAAGTTGTGTTTGTCCTGCAGTGTATTTCGGTTTGATCGGAGCTCATAATGCGTCATAGTTTTTAAGAGTCATCTGACCCAGACATGGATCAAACCACAATCAAGGAGATTAGAAACTAACACTATGTAAACTCTTAAAAAAAGGAGTAAATTCAATTAAAATGAACCATGAAATTTGAGCATTTTGTTTATTATCGATCTCTGCATTTTGTCAAAATACTTGCTTAACAACAAAAGTAACCTTCAATGAAATGATTATGTATATTTGTGTATCTTTGTATGGTTATACCAAATTGTCATTAATGGGACGATATAACAACACCTGCATATGATTCAGGGTTCCGAATTGGTAAAGGTCTGAATCGACCCAGAGCCCAAATGTAACCTTAAAATAAATCTTGTAAATCTGCTGTTTAGCCATTAGCAATACAAAAACACAATTTGTAATAAGTTTTTTAAAATATTATTATTTAAACAGAAATAAAAGGAGCGTAAATAAATCTATTCTTAAAAAAAAACCCCTGTGATCCAAATGGTTAGCCCTTACACAATGCTGTTCTGCAGCAGGCTCTTTTCCGTCTGTTCAGGCAGGCTAACGTCATCTGTGTATTTTTTGATATGTTCATCTCTACAAGAGGCAAAGCGCAGACAGGCTGTCTAGCCACAAGTTTTCTTGATGTAGATAAACACAAATAAAACCAGCTAACGTCCACCACCCTGCATATAACAGAATGTTTTGCTGCTGCAGATGATTGAGTCATCTCCTCTGCAAGAACAAGCATATTTATAGACAAATTAAATAGGTTATTTTCATTTCCACTGCAGTTAGTTTTATAAGATTGAGTATTTTTAAATCACTATGGAAAACCTTTTTGCCTGCATAAAACCTCTTGTTATAGCTCCATTTACTGGTTTGATTACTTTAGTATTGCAGGTGCTCATATATAAATGACAATGAATACTATTATTATTACTACGACTAATAGTACGTTTTGTTTCTTTGTGATTATAAAATTTGCAACTCAAACAAAACAAGTAAATACAAATGAAAAGAGGCACTTTTTTTCCTAATCAAAACAGAAAATGTGCAAAACGATTTTCATTTAATTACATAAAAGTGTTTATGAAAGTTATGTTTGTGTTTCTGTGTGCCGAAATGTCACTTAAGTTAACAAAATAGTACTGTTGTTGTGAAATGCTTTTTTTTTAAAAAAAATTTTTTAAACTGCACTGCTCTTAAGGGATTTAAAAAGTTACACTCAAAGAGAAAGCTACAAATATAAAAATCTGTGAAAAAAGAAATGTTTGAACTGATCCCATGGACTGTTTCTTTTTTCAAGTTTAAAAGCTTCCCACAAATTATTACATGTGCTGTTGTATCTTCAGAAATACGTCCAAACTCCAACTATATTTGTTGCCAGTCTATGAGAAAAGTTCACCCCGTGTCTAAACAGAGAGGAGCTAAATGACAACCCAGGAGTCGCTCGTCTTTCAGATTCTGACCACAAGCAGGCAATTAGAAATCCAATTACTTAGGTCAGAAAGACGAGAATTTAAATATCTGTTGCTTTCTGTGGTGAGCTGTGAGAAATTAACTCTTGCCAGAAATATTCGGGCGTTCGTTTTTGTGGAAGAAGGGTTCTGCATCTTTGTTTCCAAAATATTTGAAGTTAATACCAGAAAATAAGGCACTGAGAGAGAGAAAGAATTCAAAATATGAATAATGTACCCAGCTGTGCATGAGTATGAAACTCTTACTAGCCAAAATAGATTGAGTTAAATAGACTTAGCACAGAAAAGATTTCTATTTTGTGTTAAACTTGAGAAAAACAAATGAGGATTATTTTTTTAATTAAAAAAAGAAATAAGTAGAAGCCATGTATGTAGTACTATTGCAGGACAAAAACTCAGATTTCTGATTACATGTCACACTGCATCACAAAAACACAAGACTTTAAATCATAACTCTGCGTTTTACTACTTAAAACCCTTCAGTAACGTAGGAAAAAGATGATTAATCTGTTTAAAACTGTCAAATCACATGCAACATTGCCCAATACTTGACGACAAAGCTCACTGATCTGTTTCTGCGTCACAGCAAACCTTGTGAAAACCTCGGTGAATAAAACTGAGCTGCAGTCGCTTATTAGTATCGTTATTAGTTGAAGAGAAGCTGTGGTCAGAAAAATCAGACATGCGATTTCACAGACACTTTAAAAACCACAGCCGGGCTGTTTACTGGGATGATGGGCTGTTGTTAGGAAAGCAGTGTGTAGGTCAGTGGTAACATTACAAAAGCCTATTTCTATTAGAGGAAATGTCGTAAGTAATACCAGCCACAAGGACTGGGTGTGTCAACTTTCCTCTGAAACAAACAAACCATTTTTAACTTCCTGCCTACGTCCACCTACAGTCATCGACCCTGAGGAGCAAAGGAGCAGGCGTGTAGTAAAACAAACCACATCACATGGGCTTACTCCTCTGTGCATTGTTACAGTTAAAGCGTGACTATCAGAGCTGTTTATTTTTACTGCTTTATTCCTGCTGTCTGCGTAGTGCAAAGAAATTGAGACATACTAAACGAAATCCAATCTCTTCATGCGATTTCCTTCCTACAGTTCCCCAGGTTCTCCAGAAGTGTGCGGAGTTTATTGAGCAGTATGGGATTGTGGATGGGATCTACAGACTCTCAGGGGTCACCTCAAACATCCAGCGTCTCAGGTACTCCCGACAAGAAAAGGACGTGTGAAAAAGTATTTGCCTACCTTCAGGTTTTTTTTTCTTATGTTTTAGCCTCTTTTCTGCACATAAATGTTTCAGAGTTACACTGTGTAAATAGAAAATGCAGTTTTCAAATGATGGTTCCATTTGTTGTGTAAAACAGGGTAACCAAAGCAGCTCAGTCCGATAAGAAAAAAATCCCTATTCAATTGTGAACTTGTTGGCATTAACCCCTTTTTAATTTGGATGTTAGATGTAATTTTACTTGCTAGTCCCAGACCTGATTACTGCCATACCTGTAGGCTAAAGACATGCTTTAAAGAGGACCTATCTGACAACATGGAGTGAGCAAAATAAGCTCAAAAAGCAACAACTAATGCCTTAATCAGAGCCTAATAGCTAGAAATTCAAGAAAATATGAGAAACAAAGTCACTGACACTTAAAAGTATTGACAAGATTACCATTTCAAAGGTTATGGGACTTTATCAACTCAGAGTGAGAACCGTAACTCTCAAACAGAGAAAACATGAAACAGTTGGAAAATTTTCCAGACTACCAAAATTACGATAAGATCTCATCAAAGACCCTGAGGAGTCTTAGGGTCAGTGTTCACAATTAAACAATAAGAAGGAGGCTGGAAGTAAAGTACATCTATAGAGCAGTCCCACGGTCAAGCACCGACTCAGATTAGCCTCCCAAAAGTGTCTTGATAATCCCCAAGACTTTTGAGAAAAAAATAGTCTTTGGACATTTTTTTTTACAGATGTACATCCTTTTATAACTGGTGCAAAATTACCAAAGCATTTCCGTTGCCGACAGTCAAAGATGAAGATGGCAGTGTGACGGTCTGGGGCCATTTTGCTGCTTCAGGACCTTGACAGCTTACTGTAGTCGACGAAATCAAGAATAGAAGTAATCCTCAAGTAGAGTCTGTCCATCACCTCAAGTAGCTTCAATTATGCAGCAGGAAAGCGGTCCAAAGCACTGCAGCAACTTTAACAAGTAGAGGTTTTGAAGAGATAAAGACAAAGTCCATATTTAAGTCCAAAATTCCTCCACATGGATGTAAAAGATATGTTGCTAGTTAACATAAATGCTTGATGACAATTGTTGCTGCCAGTGGTGGAACAACTAGTTATTACAATTTACCGCAACAAATAAAATCATCATGAGTTTATAGTTTTCTGATGATAAAGTTGTTTGATGACCTTTAAGCCTTTAAGTCATTCATAAAATTCCAATGCTTAAGAGGGCAAATGCATATTTTTTTTTGCAGCATTGTTAGTCATAAAACAACAAAAGGCAGATCAAATATGAGCAAATCTTTCAATGGCATCCTTGAAATAAATGAGATTCTCTAATTCAGTGTTTTCCTGTTTTCCAACAACATCAGCCAGACGGATGCATCTCAGTGTGACGAGCCTCAGAGGGCAGCAGAAGTGAGCTGGGGTGCTGAACAGTCCCGTCATTCAGCTAACTCGGTGTGTGTGGATGTTTTTGTGCAGGCAGGAATTCTGCTCCGAGGCGTGCCCTGACCTTACCAAGGAAGTATACCTCCAGGACATCCACTGTGTGGGATCCTTATGTAAGCTCTACTTCAGGGAGCTGCCCAATCCTCTGCTCACATATGAGCTCTACAGCAAATTCACTGTGAGTATGTTTAGTTTCATGTGGAGAATTAAAAAAATCCTGTATGAATGAGACGGTATGGCTGTGGATTACGCTAATGTTCATCTTGCATTGTTTTTGTAAAGAAACAGATGTTCATGTACATCAGGTAATGATTTTTTTCAAATATAGTTGCTAGCTAAAATAAAAAAATATATATATTTATGTCATTGGACTTCCATAATGGAGGAAAAGACTATAAGCAGAACAACCCAAATCTGGCCTATGGGAAAATAAAATGTAAGTTTTTGCCGTCATGAAATTACTTCTTCTTGCTTTTGTTTTATACGTAGCTTCATATATCAGCCAGAACATATCGTTCCCGTCATGAAACATGGTTTTGACTTCGCTGGGATTCTGATCAGAGTTCAGAGATTTTTCCAAGATGTTTAGTCCAGGGCTGGGCAATCCTGGTCCTTGAGGGCCGGTGTCCTGCAACTCTTAGATGTCTCCCTGG